TGCAGGTTTATTCCAATATCTAAAAGTGCCATTCTATACATAATTCAACAGTATTTTCGATTTTTAACTATGAAACAAAAGGCATTTGATGGAAAAACAATTGCAATAAGGAAATAAGTAAAGGAAATGCTATTGCCAATAATGTTCCCAAAGGAACAGTTATACAACACTTACTTGCATGACATCCCAAATGGACATTGCCCATGGGCGTAGAATGTAACAGCCAGATATGTCATAGTACTCGATCATTTCCCCATTGACGACGACCTATATGATCAGGGACGATGAGTGAAATTTATTAGATTCACATAATCTCAAATTTCACTCTTTAATATTACAGCTGATTGGGTTACATTTTAACTCACTCAAAACATTAAACTGCTCAACTAACGAATCCACACAATAAGCAACCAACAGGAAAAACATGGAAGTAGGTTAAAGTACCATCGATTGAACAAACCAGCTGGTTGCAAATTTTCAATCATACCTCAGAGTACCATTCTCCAAAGTTGTCATCTTTCTTATAAGATAGACCAAGACCAGTCTCTTTCTTCACTTCTTTCTTCTTCCCCTCTGCAAAAATGAAATGTATGATCTCAAGTTATGACAATTCAGAAGGAAATCATGTATGCGTGTATTTATAACAGAGAAATGATGCTCACTGGAAGCAGAAGAGCTGCCACCTTTACCACCGGCCATAGTAACAAACTTTACAAAACTCTGAGTAGCCGAACTGTGCATACAAAACAACAGCAAGTGGCAACAGTAACTGGATGAGTGTACATTACAATATGTACTACTTAAAGAAAAAAACACTGTTATAAGTATTAACGACGTTCTATTATCGGGAGTTAACACATCATGGCAGAGCTGCTACCGGCGTAGCAGAGATACGGCCTTCGACGAACAAGCAGTCAGCATACGAGAATTGACGGTTCCTATCTCCCTTTTTAACAAATCCTTGCCTTTCAAACCAGCAGCTTGTTGGATCAATTTCCCTCAAGCTAAGGCTCTGCACATACTGATACAGATTGGCAAGCGGGAAATTCAAAGACAACGCGCGCGCAAGTCGAGGTCATTGATATATAATTGGATAACTTGTGCGCTAGTCGTCCGGTTTTACGAAATATATATATATATATATAGTACTGAAATTGAATGGCATTCGTAATAAAACTGGTCCGAGAATTCGACATAATAAGAATATAGAGAGCGATGGAGAGAACTTAATTACCTTTACCGGTCTCGGCAGCAAGTGAATGGCGGGCTTAGCGGGGCCGGACGGCGGCGAGCGGAGATGGTATAAAAGCTTCACTCTCCCTTCCCTTCGTCTGCTTCGACCCAAATGACCTATATCCTACAGCTACAGCACTGAGTTGAATCTATCCTCTATATCTATATCTATATCTATATCTATATATATATATATATATATATATCTATAGTAATATAAAGAGGTTGTTGGAAAAATACAAAAATAGTAATTTTGACTTAATAAATAATCCTTTCACTTACTAATATAAGTAATACTTACAAACCCACATGTCAAAATGGTTTACAATTTTTTTTTTAAATCTTTTATCCGATTAGGGATATAAATATGATCGAATTTTGTTAACAAACGTGATCGGATTTTGCTAATAAATCTTTTACACGGTTGAATTTTTGTAACAAATTCGATATTTATTTACACTAATTATTTGGCCGAATATTTGGTAAATGGTCTGATATTTTCGAGCATATCTTTTTTTAGTAACATTCTGTACAATATGATCGGATTTTGTGAGATATTTTTGGGTAAATCTTTTTAGCCGAAAAGAAGTTCGAATATGATCGGATTGTGTTAACAAATATGTCAGCCGATCGGATTTTGGTAACAAATTTTAGATTCGAATCCATCTATGCTAAGCACTTTGAAGATGAGATAAGTAGAGAGTTGAAGCACACTGGAGCTGGTATCATATCCATGGCAAATGCCGGTCCGAATACAAACGGGAGCCAGTTCTTTATAACTCTGGCACCTGCACCCTCTCTAGATGGTGAGCATTCTTTAGAGAACTTACATTAATGCATCTAGAAACTTCATTACATTGTAAGACTGCGAGAGCGAATCGAACTTTTCAATATATGATGTGTTTGTTACACTTCGATATAGATATTACGTATATATAATATGTAAATGCCTCTATTTTAGAGAGGTCCTTCAGTCCTGTGAGTTTTGAAAGTCAGGATTTTCATTTCAAAATAAAATTATTAAATTGGTTGATTTGCAGTTTGTTTGGATTGTGATAATATGTGCTCCAGTGGAACATTATTTTATCAGCAACAACTTGTATTTGGTGTGAAGTTAGGTTCTCTTGTAACCTTGGAAAGGTTATGCGAGGAGCAGTATTGGTGCATTTGAGTGTATCATGTGGTTAAAACCTTTTTAATATGCTATTGTAAACCATGTGCTGTTTCTGGTTATGTTCAAACTGATAACACTGACCGTCCTATTCACGATGTGAAGATCTATTAAGGAGTAGCTAATGAATAGCTTCTTAGCTACAAGATAATTTTATATTATTTACAATAAAATATGCTCGACTGCTGGCTCCTTAGCATTATTTGTAAATTATATCACGTGTTAATCCACATTATTATTTAATATTATTTATTTACATCTTTAATTTATAACTAACATTTAATATTGTTTACCCGTGCATCGCACGGGCTACGCACTAGCTGTATAAAAATAGAATAACCATTTTACAAATTTAGAAATCTTTTCCCGCCAAAATCATTAAATATATCATACATATAGTAATTGTTGGACAAATCTGAATAGACAAAAAAATCGGCTCATTAATTGTGTAAAGATTTGTTTCTCTTTTTCCTGTTTTTTAGTTTATCAAAACCGTTGTTTGACAATAAATATTTATTTTTATTTTTCCTATTTTTAATATAAATCTACACGAGCCTATCTCTTCTGTTACAAAATCCAATTCCATTGCATACATTTTAAAAAATTTCATCCCTTATCTATATAGATTTGAAAAAATAAAATAAAATAGAAACTAATTCATAATACTACTAGAAATTCATTATCTTTAAACAGAAAAAATAAAATAAAATAGAAACTAATTCATAATTACTACTAGAAATCCATTATCTACTTTAAGAAGCTAATTTTCATCGGTCTAATTACTACTATTTTTACAAATATTATAAGTTAATCATACAAAAAAGTATAATAATAATTTTGAAATGGTGTGTAATCAAATATTTTTATATTCTCTTATACAAAATAATTTTATATTATTTGACCCCGAATCTTTAATTTATAATTATTAAGTATTGTTTATCCTCCTCTTTAATTTATAATTATTTTTGTTCTTCCTCTTTTTAAATAGGATCAATAATAGTTTCCACTTCCGCCATTGAGTGACTCACACTCGAAGTCTATTTATAATATTGTTAATTTAATATTGTTCCCGTGCATCGCACGGGGTACACACTAGTGGAAAGAAAACGTAGAAGTTCGTGAAAGCGTGCACAGTAACTACTAACCAAGGTTTTCAAAACCAAACCGGAGATGCTACTGGTTCAATGGTTCACTGATCCGACCGTGGTCGAACTTATTTATATCATTTTTTATTTATTTTATATATATGATATATAATTATATATAATTTAGTAATACTTTTATACAAAATTTTTATTATTTTTTAAATTTTAATATATAAGATAATATATTAACAAATTATAATTAAATTTTATAAATATATAACTAAAGCCTATTATTCTTTTTTTTAACTAAAGTCTATTTAAATATTTATATCTATATCTATATCTATATCTATATAAAGAGCCAACTCATTTACCAGAAATAGCAATAAAAAAAGTCAACCAGCATTTATTACATTCTATTTTTGGCGGTTTTTGAATTTTTTAAAATTATTCCCAATAGATAGATTAGCTATATATGCACCCTAAATTCATGGGTTTTGTGGATTTAATTTAAGTAAATTTCGACTGATGCTTTGTCAAAATTCTTTCTCATTTTTTATTTAAAAAAAAAAGCTGATTACCATAAAATCAAGAATTTCGAATTAGGTAAAATACTATCACATAAATCTTTTCCTAATTGCAACAAATCAATTTCTTATTAAAACAAATCGGATTGCATAGAAATCGAGTTAATTTAGGTAAAATTCGGCATGACAATTTTGCGAAAATCAAAATTCTCTCATTTTTTATTTAAAAAAAAAATTGTTTACCGTAAAATCGGGAGTTTTGAATTAGGCAAAATACTATTACGTATGACCTTTCCTAATTGCAACAAATCAGTTGTTTATTAAAATAAATCGTATTGCATAGAAATCGAGTTAATTTAAGTAAAATTCAGCATGACAATTTTGCTAAATCGGTTGTTTATTAAAATAAATCGTATTGCATAGAAATCACATATGCTAAATAATTTAATTGATTTATTTAAGCCTATCTGTTATTCAAGCTAGGCGGTTTATTGACACAACCGGACCGTGTCAAGGCCTGTTCCAGGTCGAAACTACTAATTTTTTTAAAGGGTGTTACTCCCCCATGTTACTACGTATTGTCCTCCTTTGGATCGTTTTTCCCCTGACATTTCATGGTTGGCGATCGCGGCCACTCGCGGTGGCGGCTGGCAGGTCAGGCCGGTCACCATCAGCGATCGCAATATGCAGCCGACCATGACCATGCTCGGTTGGCCAGTTTTNTAAATAAATTATGTTAGTATAAATTATTATGTTATCTATATCTATATCTACATCTATATATATATATATAATAAAAATAACCATTTACTAAATAGTAGTCAACATTTTTGGAAGCATTTAATACATACCTTTTTTGAAAACTTTTTAAATATATGCATTAATTGTTTATATATACACGTTTTCAAATAAGATCAAATCATATATGATCAAAAATATTATTTCCTTAAATAATTTTATTAATATCTGTAATAATTTCATTGATATCCACTATAATAAATTACATGATTGATTTTCCTTGATTCATGTTGATAATATTTTGGTCAAGATAAATATTACAACATATTTTAAGTTTTAACCATAATATCAATTTTTTTTTCACAAATATTCACTTTTTATCTAAAAATATTTATAGAAAACCGTAACAGGTTAGGTAGAATTTCTTCTTCCAATTAATCAGGCGAAATCAAGTGTGTGAATTAATCTTTACCAATATATTTGTTTCTTAAGTTTTATTTCATATATAAAAAATAAATTATTCCTCAAATTAATATAAATTATCATTTAATAGATATTGACCAGATACATTAAATAGTTTTACTAATGGTCAAAAATTAAAATTGAAATATAATTGTTCAAGAATTTATTTGTATATTATTGGCAACCATGTTTATTTTTATCAATTTTTTTTTATTTTAATTTCTTTCTATAATGAAATTCTTGTAAACTATATTTTCATTGCAGAGTATACTAAACAAACTATAAATCTTTATAATGCAAATTGAAAAAATCTTGCTTATAGAATCGATTGAGTTTTTGGCATTTGCTAAATCAAAGTTGTTTAATTAGTATAAAAGATTAAATTGTAAAAACAAATGTCGAAGATTAACTCCAAGTAACTTATGGAGCCCTCCTTCTAGCACCAAACTGTAGTTATATGAAAATTAACAACTATTATCGAGTAATTAAGGTGTCAAAATACGGAAGAGCTGTATTGGTGTTTATTTGATGCGACAGGATGTCGGTTTATCTGTGAACTGAGTTGTTTGGGTTTGAATGTTAGAAAAAAAAAGACCCTTGTACAATAATAAATTTTGCTATTTATAGTAACATTTTGGCTCGATGTTCGAGGTTGGTACGGCCGCATTAAATGCAAAGTGGCTTTATGAAGGCGGGTTATTGCAGATGGGCCCACAGAGATGATTGAGATTCGTGTGGCGAGTATTTGGTTGCGTTGGCGCCTCGTCACTTGCTTTTGATCTCGGTTAATCGCGCAAGTCGGCTAGCATGGTTGGTGGTGGTCGGTTTTGTTGTGTTCGATAGTACCGTACGGGCTGTACACAGCGGAATTTAAAATTTTTAAAGTAAGTATTTATCGTATAAATACAACACCCGT